TATCAAAGCATCAGTCGAGAAAGAATCGCGAAGTGGTTTAACTGTCGATGAGGTTGAAAAACATTTTAGTTGCAACTATGTCTTAATTCTTTTTTTGAAAAGTAAATCGTTCTTTAGATATCTTTTATTCGATTTTTTATCTTTAGATACATAAATGTTAAGATCACGACAACATATTAAACTTAATAATTTTGTTGAATAAAGACGATAGATTATTTATGGTTATTAATTTTTTTTTTTTGTCATCTTTGAAATTTTATTAAACATAAAGGGGAATACAAAATTGATTACATAGCCAAACCAACCATCCCTCATAAGGCCAAACTTAACCGTCGGGAAGACATAAATTCCCGAGCAAGGTAGTACATACCTACCAAAGCCAACTTAAAACATAACTAAAGCAATCAACCACCAAGGCACAAGGAGATATAATCAAATCCAAAACACTCCTCCGATTGATTCTTCAACGATACTTGACCCAATATTGTTAAGAGAAAGCTGTCAAAAAGTATCGCAGCAGGAAGAATTAATCGGAAAACGGAGTGGCATAACACTGACCTGATGGACAATAAGGACTTTTCTTGTAACCATCTTCATTATCACCAATTCACCAACGAGTAAAGGAAAGCGTCGCAGGAAGTTAATCCAAGCCTCCACGGTTCTCGCAAGTAAAGGATCAGCGAAACCACCAGCCTATAAGTCCGCCGCATACTTCATCACGAGCTACTACCACGAGCCCTGACCACAGCCAAACCACAAACTTAACTTCACTCGCCACACTACTACCTCATACCATTAAACCAGAACTACCCTGCCTCTGACTTCCACCCAAACTTCACACACCCAAGACTGAACCAACAATTCCAGGAGGATAATCATGTTACCAAGACTAGCCTAAGGAGGATGAAAGGTCACCGCGAGCCTACCAAAAAAGATCAACCACGACGAAACAGAGGAAGGCAAGCATAAACCAGAGACCCACACTCAATCCAGTACACAGCTACAAAGCACAATGAATCCCTATAGCAACCATAGTCGAAACCCAAACCCGACCCCCTAGCAAAAACCAAGAGTCACCCAAACCTTACCATCACCGGCCATAAGCGAGCCCAATCATGAACAGGGAGACACCTACGACAACTAGCCACCAAAGAAACCATCAAACCAAAAGAGAAACAAACCCGGAATGATTTGATCGGAGCAACCCACAGAGAGCAATCATCTAAGCCATGGCAAGACATGGAAGCACATAAGCTCAGCACCCGAAGAAACACAGCTAGGCACAAACGACAGAACGAAGCCCACCCGCCTTTAGACACGATTCAGCCTCAAACCCAACCCCTAGCCACTGTCACAAGCCGCTAGAAAGGAAGAACTAGAACCAAACACGAGCCCTGAGCCGAGGGGAAACGTCGTCATCGAACCACGAGGAGACGCATATCTCCAAAATCCATCAAACACGAGACGAGCACAAAGCTCCAGCATAAGCCACAACCCTCGAAAATCTACCGGAGAGGAACTAGAACCCGACTACTGAGAGACATCAGAGAAGCACCACCACCATCGAGCACCATGGCGAAGTAGATCGAAAATCATCTCACGGAGAACCATCTAGAAACACCAAATCCGGAGCCGAAAAGAAAGACAAAGTATTAGAAAGACAAGAGAGTCCCTTTTCCGATGGCGGTGAGAGCCACGGCACGCCAGAAAAGGAGATCGGAAAAAGCCAACGGCAGCTCTAGGTTTGAAGAGTTTGGGAGAATTTTGGCATCTCAAAGGCGATTTTCCGAAAATAGTATATATTTATATGATATGGTTTTTCGGTTATTAATTATTTATGCATGGTTTATAAAACATATTTTTAATATTTGTATATACATTTCTTTTTCCAAATATATATCCGCATGTAAGGCTACGTGGTGAATATTATTAGTTTTTCCAACTCAGTTTCGAACTACTCTGGTGGAGAAACTTTTGTTCCATCTACCGAACCAACAATTGGTTGTGTAAAACGAGGATGATCTTGCGGATGAAATTATTAAGCATGTGTCTGTGGGTCAAACTAAATTTTAAGCTTGGATGGATGCTAATAAGATATATCCGGAAGCGAGTGATCTCACTTATACTGGTTTTCCAACCAGATTTGTTTGGCATTTTAAAAAAAAGAGTGTGGAAACCACGTCAAAAGAGTTTCTCAATTAGTCGTGTTACGTTTGTCCCACAATCATCAGGTGAAGC